TGGGCATGGAAGAGCTCCCCAGAGCAGTAGTCACAGCAGCAGCCTGACAGAGTTCAAGAAGCATTTGGACAATGCTCTCAGGCACACGGTGTGACTCAGAGATGGCCCTGTGCAGGGCCAGGAGCTGGATGTTGATCATCATTGTAAATCTTTCCAACTAAGTACTGCCTATGATTCAATGAATCTAAATCCCTGGATAAATCACAGAAGCATGAAATGTAAAGTGAAGTTGAAGTTCAGAGATCTGAAATACAGACTCACTAATAATAACAATAGAGTGCAGACTTTATCTAGGCTGTGTTCTGTCTCCTATTGTGAAAAAGAGCTCTCAGGTCTAGCCCACAATTGTGTGCTATGTGTCTTCCTATTATGTAAAGATAGCAGCTACTAAAAGAAAGATTATCTCTTCCCACAAACCTAAATTCCACATGCAAATTATAAACAAAAAAGCACAAAAGACTAGCTTGATGACAAGTTTCTAGTTAACCTAAGTCTTTGAAGACTAAGAAGTTAGCAGTAGTGGACGTTATGTAACAGAGCAGAATGAACACTTCTACTTATTTTACAAATAGCATTAACACAAATTGAAGTACCTGACAAAACTCTTTAGCCTGCTATTTATTGTGCGAAAAATACACATTACCTCTTTCAACTAAGAACAGAGCAGATGACAATATTAATCCATTATTACCTACCTTATAAGTTATTTAGGTGTTCAGAACATAAACAGTATGGAAACTAAAAAAACCCAAAACCTAACAACCTTTCATATTTAATTAATGAATTATGAATTTTAGTTTCTAACTAAAATTCAGGCGGGAGCTTGCTTCTCTTTAACATGCTACATTTCACTAATATAAATTCTCTGTTGAGTTAGATGCTAGCAGTAATCAACTATACTGCTTTCTTTAAGGAACAGCCTTACATTTAATCAGGCAATGCACAGAAATGCAGTTTCTTGACAGACACAAAAAAGTTTTTAGAATCAACAGTATTCCTCAGTGCATCCACATTCTAGCAATCTTTCCAACTTGAGATGTCAGAGGAAAAAAAAATCTCAAATCCTATTTCTGTTCTTACTGTTACTGCAATCTTTCTGAGAAGCATGAAAATCACTTGGTTTTCCTCATGTAAGTGAAGATTTTAACCTTTCTCCAAGTTAGAATACTGCAGCATTTTCAGAAAAACCTGTAAAACTCACTCAATAAGTATGTCTAGTGGTCTTAGTAAAATAAATTGTATAAATATTTGAAATGCTCTTTCAGAGAAAATATGTGGCTATAAATATATGAAGAGGAAAAGCAATGAAAAGCAGAAAATTGTGTATCACCTTTACCTCAAATTCACCCAAGAACTGAGCAGAAAGCATGTGCTGAGGGTAACATCCATTTTAACAAACAGAGAAATCCCAATCTTCATTGAATCAAATTAATTCAGTTATGCCTGTTTAGTAAAGGATACTCTGGACAGAGAATATGTATGTACGATTTGAATGACATAGGTATTGAAAATAAACACTTTAAATCTTCCCACCAGGAAACATCTTTTTGTGAGTGTTATCAAAGCAATTGGATGAGATTTTTTTTTTCCTCATTTATTCTGTCATAAATTAATTGCAGCTTCACTAAACTCAGCAGATTAAGCAAACACAAAATTTAGGGTACCTTCTTCTAAAACAAGTATTTATGTTGAGGCATATCAGTATCAAGCTATATGATTTGGTATCTACTGCACTGGAGCTATTAATTAACAATTTATAAAATTTGATCCATAAATAGAACCTTAAAAATATACGGGCACTAACATACCTAAAAGGAAGTGCATATCAATAGGAAACAAAAATACTTTACTTGATTAAGAACAGCTGGTATCAGGAGTTAAAAATATGTCAGTTATTGATACCTGTTTAGCATTTGTGTAAAAGTTTCTCTTCAAAGAATAAGGAACCAGAGCAAATGATTCACTTCATCTAATAAAAAGAAGTGGTGTTAAACAGTTGCTTAGTTCCAGCTGACCTTGAATGTAATTGGCTATTTTGGATGTCTCTATGGTATATGCCACTAAGAAGATAAAAATATACAGGATTAAAATCTGAACTGATAAAGCTAAGAAATTAAGTATTACTCCTTTAATAAGACTACTTTATGAAAGTACATGAATACCAAAATATCTCCTTACTGATTGCTGTGAATAAGTTTAAAAATAAGCTATCAAAAGTGAAGGTATCTAATATTCTAATTTTCTTCTTCTTACTTTTAAAAAATTATTAATAAAGAATTCAAAGCATGTCTATTTTTTTCACTCCATGTCACTCTACTCTACCTGACCTTACTTGTATGCCACCAGACTCGCCAAATTTTTATATACACTTTAGTCTATACAAGTAATACTATTTTGTATCTTAAAATGAAGATGGAGACATATTTTTCGATTTTGTTTTTTACACTGCAACGCTAAAAATTATTTTCTTTTTTTTCTGTATTATTTAAACACTTGAAACCACATGCAATTTTAAGAACAGTTTTACAAGGGCAAGATTGGTTATTACAAAGATTATGTTGTTTAACTGTACTGAAAAATGAAAGCTACAAAAAGCCCCACAAAAAAACCCTAACATTTTAAGTCAAAAAACCCAATTAAGCTAAAGAAAAGGATCTGTCAATTAAAATGCCAGGGCAGAGACCATTTCTTCCTGTTGTGAATAAAGGCAGGAACAAGGTTGGATGGTAGTTAACTGTGGGAAAAAGAGACTTTTTCTTAAATTTTAAAAACCAAAAGATATAGGGCTCAAAATTTAAGAATCACTTTTATTCCTTGAGATCAAAGTATTATATTAGACTGCCATTTGAATTTCAAAAATACTTACACAACACACATTTGGAATTGTAAAAACAATGATAAAAAGTGAAGGTAAAATGATGACTTAGGATGCATACATTGCAAAATTGTATCTGCATGACTAAAAAAAAATCGAGGACCACAAGATCATTAATATGTTTTGATGTTACCACAATTGTTCTTGTCTCCTTTTTTGATACAGTCTTTTTTGATACAGTCACAGATACATGCTGTTACAAGCAAAATGTAATTTTGTACTATCTTTTGTAGTAAATATCATAAAGAAATAAAGATGTATCAATTAATCTAAGTTGAGGGACAGTACACAGCAACAAGCCAACAACTTAAAATTGGTTTAAAACTGCTCAATGGGAAGGATTGAGACTTCCAAAGTAATAAACCAAATCAGTGTACCTGTAAGTAGTAAACTTCAGACCGAAGGTTTATTTTGTCAATGTTCTTTGTCTCCATCCTATCACCTATTTTATCACCTATCGCCTATTACATTGCATGATATCTTGAAAGATTTCAGCAATAACCAAGCATTTTACATTAAACAAAATTGTTCCAGTAGCAAACAACTGTTAAAGAACTGCAAAATTAGGATGCATTTTAGGATCATGACTGTCTCAGAAAAACTTGTATAGAGCCTTCAATTATCGAAAACCAGAAGCTGTGGAATATAATTCAGTATCTAATAATCTATGTAACAGATTTGTTTAAAAGTTTCTCCTATATTTTAATTGCCTACAATTGACCTTTCTCTTCACAGCCTCTGAACAAATGAAAAGGTGTGTTTTAGAAAAAGTAAAACATGGTGAAAAAACATGTATTAATGTACAAAAAGTAGACAAAAAATAAGATTTCAAATAGGATTTGTCTTCTAGCCCTTCCCTTCTTTATATTACTAATAGCCATCTAAAAATCTCAAATCAAGCATTTCTCAAAGAAATCAAACACAAGAATAACAGCGTATATATATACACTGCAGTTATATCTGAAAGAACATACAACAATATTAACAAGCAACCTGACTGAAAAACAGTAGCACATTTATTCTTCCATTTAAATAAACACCCAAAACTAGGGAATTGTGAGGGAGGAAAAAAAAAACACACAAAAACCAACAGGTAAATTGGAAATGTCACTGTCTTTTACCTTTAGAGAGGTAAGGCATTTTTAGTAACCAATACCAACAGTGAAAAGCCTCCTCAATAAATTTCACAACATCCTTCAGCATCCTCCACTACACATCACTTCTACTTTGCTGCAACTCATCCTCCTTGACATCTACTTTCATAGTATTTTCAATATTTATGAAATTTCTAATACTTTTGCAGCTGGAATCATTTTGGTTCTCCTCCTGCTTGACACTTCTTCTCTCAGAATTATAAGTGCTTCTATTTGTCAAAATGCTGGTGAAGCAGTCCCTTTGCTCAGTTGTCAATTCACAGAAGAATACTGGGAGACAGAAAGACAGTAGTAGGGCTGAAAAGCAGACACAAGCAGCAAAGCTTGCTTTATATAGAAAATAAATAAAAGCTGCCAAGCTCAGGTCACCACCCATTACTGACTAGCCATCATAAAGTTTTCTCTCTTCCCATGTTAGACATTCACCTGGTTTCAAACCTGTAATACTCCCTCTGTTCCTTTGTTTGTCATCAGAGATTCTGATAACATCATCTTTTCCCTCATTACGTCTACAGAAAATTCTAAATTCTGATGAAAAAAGGATTTCTCTCTATTGTCACCTTGCATATTCCAAACTGACAAACATATTCTCCATCCTAAGATTATATTAATGAAAAAGACAATCCAGGTTTTAAAATATTATTGTGACCTCTACCAAAAATCAGTATCCCTTTACTTTTTCATTTGTTTTTCTATAAATCGCAAACACCTTGTGACAGCTATATCTGTCACTTATGTCCCCTACAAATTTCAGACACTTCACATGTATTACTGTACACCACCCAGTTTCAGGAGCAGAAAAGTGATGTTGTACCTTGAAGAATTTTGAAAGTGTTTCTGAGAACCCTAAAATGTCAATGGGTATGTAGTATGTGTGCATTTACATTTTATTTGCACAAGAACTATGACATTTGGCTTATTCACCAAAAAATAAATTTCAGGTGCCTAATTAAGAGCAATAATCATCTTACCTTTACAGATTCACTTAAGACTTGGGTTTTATCTGCTTCTTCACTGGATTGCCATTCTAGTTTATTGTTTAACTCCTGTAGCTGTTGTGCTTGTTCATTCAAAAGCAATTGTGCCTGATGCTCCCGATGTAATGCATTACTTAATTCTTCACATACACTTTCAAACCTCTCATGGGTGATTAATTTCTGATAAGAGAAATAAATTGTGCTTTATTATGTAACTATACTTACCTGTTTACATACTTGACTTCCCAAGTTCCACTTGGGAGCATATTAAATTCTAAAACAAAAGCATGCTAAAGGTTTTTATTTATTTAGATTTTTTAACTCAAAGGCAGACCACCAAGCAATAACATGGCCAGACAACTTTATTCACTGTATTTTTTCAAAACAGCATTCAGGCTACAGTAAACAGTATGCATTTGCTATTCTATTTAAATTAACACCCTAGATTGCTAAGAACCAGTATTTAGAAGCAAATATGTAGATCAATTTCCCACATTTTAGTGCATATCTTGTTAATCCTTGTAAAGGTCTTCCTGAACTCTTTCTTCCTTTCAAAAAGTATTCCAGAAAGGCAAAATAGTTATTCAAGGAAAATAATTGTCAGCACTTGAATGGCAATCTAAACTGTGATAATTTCTTCCAATTTTCCCAGAACTGTAAGCAATAATGAGCAGCATGAGCAGTACTGTGAGGAGAATGAGGAAAACTAAAGATAAGCAGATATAATTTTGTCTGTTTGAGTTAAAGACCCCAATGTTTTACCAGCTAGGAACAGGAAGAAGAATGGATTTGACACTATCTGTTAAATACTCTCTGCTTGGAAGTGTCTTGATTAGGACATGCTGACAGGTCTACCACCTAGGCTTCAGTATCAGGTCACAGCTCCAGAAAACACTGCTTTTTCTGGGCCACAGCTGTTTTAGTTGTACAGTGTACCTGTTGAGCACATATGAGAATTCTTAACCACTCACTAGCTGAAATAGTTCAAACATATGTTCAATTCTGAATGCAACCTACAAGAAATAAGCATAGTAGGAAAGGTGCTTAGTGAACCTCCAGCATGCTAAGCAAGACAAGTTTCTCCAAGGGCTGCTGGCACAGTTCTGTACATATGACAGGGTTCTAACTGAGAACCCACCAAATAGCATCATCCCTCCATCACCATGGCCATTAGTCACAAAACTGTGGTTTCAAGCAGTTAAAGAACCTTTTTGTTGTGTCTTCTTATTTATGTCAGACAATGCTATTTAAAAGCTAGCGAATGCATAGTGTGTAAGTAAATCAATTAGCGACAGCTAGGAGTAACAGGAATTTGGTACACATATGCTAGCTGGAACGTAGAAGAGGGCCTTTCTCTACTTTCCATAAACTTAGTCCTTCAGAGGAACAGCCACACTAAAATTTGCATTGACTAGCTCAGGGCATAACCCAGCATCAAAGATACAGTAGATGTCTGTAATAATATTCAGCAATATCCACACAGAGTTTATACTTCTTGAAGTTCTCATGACCACACTTATTCAATACTCTTATGGCAGCTGACTTTAATCTGCTGAAGTGGGATCTATAAATGCTTTTTGGGTATATAAATCACATCAACATTTTCAACATACAGAAGAAAACCTGGTTGCTGAAGACCAAACAAATAATTTACAAGAGCACCTCATTCTACAAATCAAAAAGAAACTCTCAGCCTTTCTAAACACATCTGACTTCAAACCTTCTGGAAAATTCTTTTAACATTAGAATGATTTTATACTTATTTTTCAAAAGAACACACAAAAACATGTCTTATAAACAGTCATCTCTAAATCAAATATACTTACTTGCTTAAGCATATTTAACTGTTCTTGTAGCCTCTGTGCTTTGTCTGCTTTCTTTTTTATCTCACTGAAATTCAATTTGAATTCTGCAAGTCGTAGGCGCAGTGAGCGACGTTCCACTTCTGCTGTATGAAGTCTTTGTGTAAATTCAAATATTTGCTTTTGCAAGGATTCTATGTTTTTCTGTTAACAATCAGAAACAAATTTATGTGCTTTAACATGAGCTAGTTTATCAATAAAAGTGTCACATGTAGTACCCAAGCAAATTAAACAAAGCTCTCATTTTGTCCACCATCTCTAAGATGCACGAGAGTGCAAAAAAGTGAACCTGTTTCACCTTCATACTCTTGAGGGTAACTGAAAATTCTGTTTTCAAGGAAGTACTATTTTAATGTAAGGCCCACAATAAAAGACCAGTTATTTCAGAAGCTTTCTCTATTCCCTCTGATTATAGGGAAGAAGGCGATCTTTACTGAAAAATGGAACACAAAGCATTAGAAAACAGAAAAAAAAAGCCTCCCCAAAAAACACAACAAAAAGACAACTCCATAACATTTAGTTGAAGCCAAAAGCAAGTTAGTTCCTACAAAGCAGTACTACTTTGAAAGAACCTTAAAAACCCTTTTTCTTGGATGCATCAAATCTCTTCTTAAAATTATTTGACATAAAAGAAAAAATATATTCATGCTCTAATGCTTCTTGTTGTTGGGAATCTAATGTCTACATAGTTGACTTCAATGTAACAATCTCATAAACTGAAACAAAATAATGGTACTATCAAGAGAGCTTCATCCTAACACTTAGACCATGAACCTACTGCTTACATGAAGTAGGACTATAATTATGCATACCATACTGGATACTCTGTCACACAATCCAGCTTCCAGGGCCTGGGTATTTATTTTATTAAGTCCATGAGCCAGGCTCTGTAGCAAGGAGTCTTTCTCCAGATCAGTAATGTACTTGCTGTGGTCTAATGGAACCGTCTCCATTATAACATTCAGCTTGTCCATAAGTTTTGAAAACGAATTCCTGGCTGCACTTAACAGTAACTTTCCAGAAACCCAGGACTTTGTACCTTTAAAAAAAAACCAAAAAACAAAGACAAACAAAACCCCCAAACAGTCAAACAAAAAACACCCTACAACAACAAAAGCCAAACCAAAACAAAGAAAAGAAACATCAAGTATGTTTTTAGCTCCAGTTTCTTTCAGCAAAAGAAAACACAACAAACAATATCTCTAAGATACTCAATAGAAATTTTCCATTAAGGACAGGAAGATTGAGTACAAGTCTCAGAGAGAGACTTCAAGATAAATTGTGTATTTAGCTATGAAAAGTCTACTCCTATCAATTTACAAATGGGAGGGTAGAATAAGAGCCTAAAGAATAGGATTTGTCACAGACTACTTGTCCAGTTATTATCATGCTCTCCAATACCATACTTTTTAAGGCTTTCTTTAGTGTTCTAATTTTGTAATTCAGAAAACATACAAGACAGATGCAAGCAAATGGAAGTCAGGCCAAGTAAGTCAGAAGTGATAGCACATGGTAAAACACTTTCTGTAATATTTACAATGCAAATTTGTGAGGGTTTCCTATTTCTCCTCCCTCCCTTCTACAGATGTCTAAATCATTTGCTGTTGAAAATTAGTGAGGCTTGGTACCTTAATGCCATACTATTTATATTCTTAGACAAGAGAATATAATTTACCTTATTCCAAGGCAATTAAAATTTTACAGCTACAATTACGTATTTTCCCACAGGATTTTGGTAATCATCCTTCTCATATAATGGACTTAAGGCCCCAGCACACCCAACATGTCCTGCTTACTGCTAGATTCGTCAGGTCTGTAATTAATAATTGTGTTTAATGTTGATAAATAAAATTGTCAGTGCTCCTTCCACTAATTGGTATTCCAGATAACAGTTAATAGGTTTATTTATGCCTTAATAAAAGTCTTGTAATTTAGTTTTCCCTCTGCTAGGCAGGTCTTAATCTGTCATTACTTGTCTTATGATACTATCAGTGCAAGATGACAAGCATAGAAGAGCTTATTTACATTCAGTAGTACAGCAGATCTCCTGTTGCTGCAGTGAACTAAAATATTTACCTAAGAGTATAAACAGAAAAAAAATAACCCTGGCTTAAGTTAAAGAATTTCTGTTTATAGACTGTGAAGGAAAAAGTCAGAGATACAAAGCAAACAAAGCATGATTATTGATATATTTTTATTACAATTCTCGTTGCAAAGAAGTAATTTATATGTGACGTTGAGGTTTATCTGTATGCAATAAAAAAAAAAAGCACATGAAAAAATCAAATATTTTATTTTCAAAGCCATTTGCCTGCTTGGTTTTGAAATAGCATCACTACAATGATTCCAGTGCTTAACTGGAGTATCATTTTTGAGTACACACTCTCCATAACCTCAGTGACTAGTAGATTTGTCTTTTCTTCATGACTAAGATAGCACCTTTTTAGTTAAAAATCTTATGAAGCATTTTTATCTTGCACTTCAAATAACATCCTTTGCAATTTAAAGAAAATATTCTTTTCATACCCAGAAAAAACTGCTATTTCAATTCTCCAGTCAGAATGCATTCACTAGTTGAACAATTAGTTAAATTAACCTAAAATTAAAACTAGAACATTTTTATGGCCTTCCATGTAAGGTGATGCCAAAACCTTGTCAAAAACTGTCCTTTGCCGTGATTTTTGTTATATATAGAATAAATTAGCCCAATGAGCTACTGTTCCTTCACTTTTCCCAGTATTTTCACTTGCTATCTCAGGTTATGAAATTGTTTTCCTGACAGAAGCATGTATTGTTTCTTGATATGTCATTATTTCACTGAAAGATGAAAAAAAAATTCTTGTTTATTCTGTTTTGGTGAAATTGAACATCAGTCAGTAGGATTAACTTTGTACTATGCAAGACTAAAATGTTCATGTCAAACTTTTAAAGCTTTGTATACATAACAATTTGTGAAATTTGCATGGAAAACATTGGCTGTTACTGTCTCTGGTTTATGATAGTACAGATTTTGTTCAAATAAATCTAAAATCTAACCTTACAGAAAAATCCAAAACAAACTAAGAAACTCTAACACTGCAATGAACTTGCATTGAAATTGAAGAAAAAAGATCCTTCCAAGACATGCTGGGATAAGACCCAAACTAACTAACAGTATGCAGGAAAACGATCATCAATGTCAAACCAAAACCACTTATTTAAAAGATTGAAAAAGGTGCCTCAAATCAGAGCACACAGGCCCATATATTCCAGTGTCATCTGAGTTTGGTTTGATTTAATTTTTTCAGCTGCCTCAAATGGTCCCAACCTAGGCATTTTTAAACATAATTTCTAAGACAATGAATCATTCCATCTTGATGATCCAGAGAGCACCTTCTTGTAGCACTCTCTCCTGTAATGTATAGTCTAATCTGGAACTGCCATTATTTAGAGATATGAAAGGATTGCCTATTTAAGAAATTCAACATAAGCTAAGTCAGTTTGAAGATTTAAGTCCTACTTAAAATATTACTTATAGAACATAATCTAATTTTCTAAGTTTGGAAACTTTCAAATATATTCCTTTACAGCCTAATTACTTTAACACTTCCAGAAATTTAATATCAAACTTTATTATTTATTACTATTTTTTGAACCAAAGATTCTTAGGAGACTTGATCTCATGAGCAATAGGATTCCAAGTAATACATGAGCAGTTAGACCTTGAGTTTCTGTGGAAATCACTTAAATAGAGATAAGACATGAAAGAATCACCAAACTGACTGTGGCCATAACATTCCCCGCATGCTTCTTCCTAATTCTCAAAATCAAGTCTGTGTTGAGTGCAGCAATATCTAGTAAATACAGACCAGCAGAATTCTCACATACTTCAAACTGCCAAAATATCATGATGTTTAGGGTATTCTAACCAGTTGCTTCAGCAGATCCATGCTGCTGCTGCATTTCTCTCATTTTGTCTTCAATTTGCTATTCCTACTGTGTGCACAGGAACACTTGCAGCATAAACCCTGTATATATTCTGAAATACAGTTCAAACTTTGCTTTGTAAGGATATAAATTTAAGGTACTGAAAACAGGATGACCAAAGCAGAGAGCTTCTGAAACTGAATCAAAACACTTGTTTCAATGTCTTCTGGTACTGGTTTGCTATTTAAGCTTCTGAGAAATGAAGCATCTTATCCCTGTCCTGCTACTTCTGTCTATTCATATAAATTATCCCTCCTTAAACATACTTCATTCTGTGACAGAAGTGTTGGTATTTTAAAACTACAAGTTACTAAAGAACTAAGGATGGCAGCAAAGCAGAGAACCAAGCAAAATCTTACATCAGTTCTCGCTGCAAATAAATTAAGGAAAACAGTTAACAGCTGGGAATCATGAGGTGATATTTCCAGAGACTGACACTACAATTTTTCATAGGCATAGTAAAGTTCTACACAAGCAAAGACTGAGAAAATTAGGAAATATAGACACAAACCTAATTAAACACAAACTTGAGAGGGAAGACTGCAGAAACATAAAATAAGGACTGCTATGCATTGTATAAACTGAAAACATTTTTTTCTCTCTCCAAAACTCTAAGATAGCAAGTAAAACACACAAATATATTATCCATGAAATTCACTGTTTTCCAGATTTGGAACTACTAAATTCATATTATATAAAACACAGTAGGAAATTATTTCCTTTCAGTCAGTAGCTGTAATGTCCCAAGTCAAAGATGCACCAGTTTTAGACCTGGCACTTAAGAAATACACAAATCAAATAAAAACAAAATTACATAGATTTTCTCTATGGAAAAATATCAGGTTGAACTCCAGGAAAACACTTCTTTAATATTAAACCAGATGGAGAAGGTAACTAGGAACCTTGTAAGAGTTACTTAATTTAAAAGCTTAGCCTACTTTTCAGGCTAAGCTTTTAAAAACAGGTTAGCCAAATATCTATTTCTGTGGTGTAGATTATTTTTAATATCTCACAATCAAACAGGCAGAATGGTATATATGCTTTCTAAAAGCACTCTCCATCCTTCTGTTCCTATGACTCTATATACCAAAAGGATAAAGTATCACTCCACCAATTAAAGAAAATTCAATCTGTTCCATCAATACAGCTCTCAGGAGATTTGATCCAGAATAGTTTAAATAAATCCTAAAAATGGAGATGATGTAACCACCCTGATTATTTTTTAAATCTACAACTATAATAATATACTCTTAAAATTACCTGGTTTGTTAACAACATCCTGCAATTCAGTGACAGAACTGATTATTGCAGCAAGGAGGTTGGAACTAGCAAACCAGCTGAGTACTTCCACACAGTCAAGCTGTTCCTCTTCACAACCTATGGAATAGAATTGCAGTTACCAATATAACTAAATAACTTAGATAAGGCACACTACTTCCTTTTTCAGAAATTGATGAAAAGCTAGAACTGCATAAGCCACAGACTATTTTCAGGACAATTTAGACTGTATTTAATACAATTTCACTGGCACTAAACCAGAAAAATAGATTAGCATTCTAGTTTGTGAAACATTTTTTATACTATTTTTCCTTGTAGAGGGAGGCATAAGCTGGTTTTGGTAACAGAAAGAGACTAAGACGACTATGTATTTCCACTAAAGGAAATACAGAAATCTTACATTAATATTTTACCTGAATCAGTAAGATTTTTTTTTACATTTTTCAGTAGGAAATAAGTACTGCAAGTTTTTAATAAAAGAAGAGAATACATGTTCCCAAAAAATAATGTTGGTGGCAAATAATGTAGGAACATTTCAAGAAATTTATCACATAGAGCAGATGCAGTGGCACCTAGTTCCGAAATCTACAATGCAAATATTGAGGATATCAAACAATGGTGCTCATGTGTGTAGTTGCAACTTTACTTGCATTGCTAAACAGACTAAGCAATTAATTACTAATTCCTTTAAGGGGAAATACATTTATTAAGTTATCTAAAAGTTACAAATTCAGAAATTACATTTGATAAAATGTCATTAAATTTATATTTACACTCTGTTATAAATAATATTACTATATGTTATTCACTAGCCATGTCTTTTGATACAACATTTATCAAAGAAGAAAAAAAATCAGCTTACTTAACAGATTACGCTTGCCTTTGGATTCTCCTACACAAACTGGAATTCCAATGCCTTCTTTTAAGCCATTTGTCCAGGTGAAGAGGGAACTAGAAGACTGTGCTAAAACCTTAAGTCTGTTGGCTGCCAAAACTGCAATCACAGCTCTTCGGAATACATAAATTAGGCCCTGGGATTTTCTTTTCTTTAGTTTTGCTTCATCTTCAGTGTTTCCCTTATCATCAGAGAGAGCATGAACTAGGGTCCTAATCTTCTGGTTCACTAATTCATATATGTTCACTTGATCCTGGAGAAGGTCTCTTTGGGAAGACATAGCACACAGTCGGCGATACAGAGGATACAGGGCACCAGCTAATAGTGCACAGCCTGCCAGGAGTGAGGAATGCTCCTTCTGAAACTGTGTTAACATCTTTTTCACAGAAGTGTTTTCAAGAGCCAATTTCTCTTTACTTTTTTCAAGTACATAA